CTACTACTACTACTACTACTACTACTACTACTACTACTACTACTACTACTACTACTACTACTACTACTACTACTACTACTACTACTACTACTACTACTACTACTACTACTACTATTCCTACCGCCAACACTATAAAGTATTCCGTTTCCAACCCCACATGTAAGAGCAGCGAATACACCGGCCTCAAGTGTCGTTATCCGACCAGTTGGTAGTGGACGTGATTTAGTTCCTGACAATCACAACAATAACATAGGAGTTAACAAAAATATATTTCACGACTACTGCATATCACCGCAAATATTGTTTTTTTCGCCACTCCACATAAAACGGGTTCCAATAAAACTAAAATTATAAAATACAGAACTCATCATTTCATACAACTATTATAACAATTTGCTGAGCAACCGAGACGAAAATACAGCAGGAAAAATTTCAAAAAAAAATTAAAATTTCCGGAAAGAAATTTCAAAATTCCAGAATCTGCTACAAATCCCACTCTGTAAGACACTATCACTCCAATGTGTGGATCTGCGATAATAAAAAATCACTCACAAAAACTCTCGTACGAAGTAACTAGAGTCGCTAAATGTATAAACCTATGATAATAAAAATCACTTACAAAAACTCTCGTACGAAGTAACTAAAGTCGCTAAATGTATAAATCCATGATAATAAAAATCACTTACAAAAACTCTCGTACGAAGTAACTAAAGTCGCTAAATGTATAAACCTATGATAATAAAAATCACTTACAAAAACTCTCTTACGAAGTGACTAAAGTCGCTAAATGTATAAACCTATGATAATAAAAATCACTTACAAAAACCATCATATGAAGAGACTAGAGCATCTGATATCGTCGCCATCACCGCATTTCGAATCCAACCCCAATGCTCTTACGCGTCATATTTCCATCTCTTTCCTTTTCCATTATTTGATTAACCGCTTGAGACGACGCCGCACACAGCAGAGTGCCCATGAACACTCCTGTTGAGTTCAATACTACACTCCCAATAGCACCAGTAAGGAGACCGCACGATACCAAATATCCTGGCAATGCTGATAGCGCTGCATACACTGACAGCCCCCCTTTAGATAGTTTCTGAGGAGAAAAAAATATTTTCCTTTTTGAGCGGAAAAAATTACGAAAAAAATATGAAAATTTTCACACTTTCATATCGAATAGTGCAGTTTAACAACAACCCGTTTTACGTGAAGTGGCGTAAAACTCGGTGAAAAACGCGATATTCGCGGAGATATGCAGCAGCAGAGTGCTGTTGTTGCTGCTGTATAAAATAATATTATCATGCATACTATAAATACCATTTACTGGTCTCGAGAAATTCAAGACGGCCAAATGAGTTGTTGATTATTGATTCTGAC